AAGGCTGCTTGGATCTGGTTGGTGAAGGTCCCAGGAGTGAAACGGCCAGCAATTGGAGTGGCTCCGGTGGCAGCAGCAAACTTCAACACAGTTTGCTGTCCAGTGTTCCTGGAGGAGATGACCCTGACATCAGCGGGGTTCTCAGTGGCAACGATGGGCCTGGCTGCCAGCAACAGCTTCTCCCACGTCCTCTTCAGATTGATGATGTAGATACCATCATTTTTCCTCTTGTAGATGTACTGCTCCATTTGGAAGTCAAAGTTGGTGCCACCTAGGTGGGTTCCTGCTGCAAGGAACTTGAGGACATCATCCTCTTTCATCTGCAGGACATCGAGGGCTCCGGACATTGAGTAAGTTTCCCTTTTAAGTTACGATGGGAATCAAGAACAACGCTGTATGGACCCATCCTGGGGCAGCGCGGAAAGGTGATTTTTTTTTTATTTTTATAATTGTAATTAGACCAATTTCAAATTAGAAACAAGCTTCTTTTACATGTCAATCACAGTTCCTTCGGCCTTCCCTCCTGGACTCCTCTCCTGTCCCTGCATCCCAACCCCTTTCTGCTCCCCAGGGATGCTGAGGCCTTCCATGGGGATTGTCAGAATCTGTCATATCATTTGAAGCAGGACCTAGACCTTCCACAGTGTGTCTAGGCTGAGAGAGTATCCCTATATGTGGAGAGGGCTCCCAAAGTCCATTTGTGCACTAGGGGTAAATACTAATCCACTACCAGTGGCACTATAGACTGTCCTGACCTCCAAACTGACCTCATGCAGAGGGTCTGGAACAGTCCTATGCTGATATTCCAGCTATCAATCTGTGGTCCAGAAGCAACCCCTTGTTCAGGTCAGCTGTCCCTGTGTGTTTCTCCAGCCTGATCTTGACCCTTTTGCTCATCACTCCTCCCTCTCTGCAACTGGATTCCAGAGATCAGCTAATTGTTTAGCTGTGGGTGTCTGCTTCTGCTTCCATCAGCTACTGGATGAAGGCTCTAGAATGGCATATAAGGTAGTCATCAATCTCATTATCAGAGAAGGGCATTTAAGGTAGCTTCTCCACTATTGCTTAGATTGTTAGCTGGTATCAACCTTATAGATCTCTGGACATTTCCCTACTGCCAGAATTCTCTTTAAACCTATAATGTCTCCCTCTATTATAGTATCTCTTATCTTGCTCTCCTCTATTCTTCCCCTTACTAAATCTTCCTGTTCTCTCATGTCCTCCTCCCTTCTCCTCTTCTCCCCTTTTCTTTCTTCTAGCTCACTCTCCCATCCTCCCATGCTCCCAGTTTACTCATGAGATCTTATCCCTTTCCCCTTCTCCAGGGGAAAATATATGTCTCTCTTAGGGGCCTACTTGTTTCCTAGCTTCTCTGACGGTGTGGATTGTAGGCTGGTACTCCTTTGATCCATCTCTAAAATTCAAAAATGAGTGACTACATACAATATTTGTCTTTTTGTGACTGGGTTACCTCACTCAGAATGGTTTCTTCTAGTTTTATCCATTTGCCTGTAAATTTCAAGATTCTGTTTTTTTTTTTCCAATGAGTAGTACTCCATTGTATAAAGGAACCATATTTTCTCCATCCATTCTTCAAATGAATATTTAAACATGCTCATGTGAGCACATTACACATTGGAGTGAACCCACACAGCCATGGAGGAGCTCCCTGAGTCTGGAAACACCTCACTCTTCCTTCCCCCTCTGCCGCCGGGCTGACACCTACAGAGTGAGGAGACAACCAAGAGAGGCAAGACATTTCAGAGCTACAGACATTGACGTCTTGGCCCACACACACCACCGGGTGACAAGAGGTGATAGAGAGATCCCACCTGCACCCACTGGAAGAAGAGATGGGAAGAAGACAGAATAAGAACACACTCAACATCAGAAAGACCAATATGACACCACCAGAATCTAGGGACTCCACAGCAGCAAGATCTGAAAAGCCCAACACAGAGGATGAAGAAGAGATGGACCTCAAAAATTATCTTAGGAAGATGATAGAGAACTTTAAAGAGGAAGCAGGAAAATCCCATAAATAAATAGAAGAAAAAACAAGCAAATATTACATGAAATGGAGGAAAAGGCAAACCAAAAAATTCAAGAAATAAACAAATCTCTTAAACAATCTAAAGAAAGCCAAGAAAAAACAACCAAACAAGTGAAGGAAGCACTCAAAATAGTTCAAGGCATGAAAGCTGAAATAGACACAATAAAGAAAACACAGAATAAAGGGATGCTGGAAATAGAAAGGCTGGACAAATGATCAGGAACTAAAGATGTGAGTATAACCAATAGAATTCAAGACATGGAAGAGAGAATCTCAGTTGTTGAAGACTCATTAGAGTATATACAGTCATCACTCAAAGAAAATCTCAAGTCCAACAAATCAGAACACCAAACAGACTGGACCACAAAAAGAAGACCCCTCAACACATAATAATCAAAACACCAAACCTACAGAATAAAGAAAAATATTAGCAGAAGCAAAGGAAAAAGGCAAGTAACATATAAAGGCAAACCTATCAGAATCACACCAGACTTCTCAATGGACACTTTGAAAGCCAGAAAGTCCTGGATAGATATCCTACAAACACTAAGGGAGCATGGATGCCAACCTAGATGACTGTACCCAGCAAACTTTCAATCATTATAGATGGAGAAAACAAGATATTCCATGACAAAACCAGGCTTAAACAATACATATCCACAAATCCAGCACTACAGAAAGTTCTGGAAGGGAAACTCCAACCCAATGAAGATAACTACACTCACAAAAGCATAGGCAATAGACAATCCAATTTTACCAAACACTAAAATAAAAAGTGGGAAATCCATACACAATGACACCACCAACAATAAATCCAAAACAAACAAGAAGGAAAATTAAAGGACATTTATATCCCTCAATGTCAATGGTCTTAACCTACTCATAGAAAGATAAAGGCTAAAAGAATGGATATGAAGACAGAATCCATCCTTCTGCTAGATACAAGAAACCCACCTCAACTTCAAAGACAGGTGTTATCTCAGAGTATAAGATGGGAAAAGATTTTCCAATCAAATGGGCCCTAGAAACAAGCTGGTGTAGCAATCCTAATATCTAAAAAATTAGACTTTAGACTAAAATTAATCAAAAGAGATGAAGAAGGGCATTTCATACTCATCACAGGAAAAGTCCATCAAGATGAAGTCTCAATCCTGAACATCTATGACCCAAATATGAAGGCACCCACATTTGTAAAAGAAACATTACTAAAGCTTGTAGGGGACAGTAAGCCATGCCTGTTAGAGGCTGGCTACAGATTTGCCTGACCATGCCTGTTAAGGCATGGTCAAGGTGAGGTCAGGATGACTGGGCAGGGGCTCTAAAGGGACTGCAGAGCAAAAAGAAGCCCTTCTCCCTGGCCTCCCTGGCCTTCTCCCTTCTCCCTGGCCTCCCTGGGCACACTCTGGCTTGTGTTTGGCTGGCATTTATCTCAGTAAAAATATCTTGACCATAGGGACTATGGATCGTCTCTTGTAGTCACGTAATAAAAGCTCAAATCACACATAAAACCACACAGACTCATAGTAGGAGAATTCAACACTCTGCTTTCACCACTAGACAGGACCACCAGACAGAAACTTAACAAAGAAACAAAGTATCTAACAGAAGTTATGATCCAACAGAGTTTATCAGATATCTATAGAACATTCCATGCAAACACAAAAGAATATACCTTCTTCTTAGAGCCACATGGAACCTTCTCTAAAATTGACCACATAGTTGGCAACAAAGCAAACCTCCACAGATACAAGAGAATTGAAATAACCCCCTGTATCTTATCAGATCACCAGGCTTTAAAGCTATAATTCAACAACAATACAAATTGAAGAAAACCTACAAACTCGTGGAAATTGAATAACACCCAATTGCACTATTCCTGGTTTGAGGAAGAAATAAAAAAAATTAAAGACTTCCTAGAAATTAATGAGAATATAGACACAACATACCCAAATTTATGGGACACTCTGAAAGCAGTGTTAAGAGGAAAGTTCATAGCACTAAGTGCCCACATGAGGAAACTGGAGAAAACTGACGCTAGAGAATTCACAGAACAACTGAAAGCTTTAGAGAAAAATGAAGCATACTCACCACAGAGGAGTAGATGCCAGGAAATAATCAAACTTAGGGCTGAAATCAATAAAGTAGAAACTAAGAAAACACAGGGTGTTGGTGGCGCACACCTTTAATTCCCAGCACTCGGGAGGCAGAGGCAGGCGGATCTCTGTGAGTTCCAGGCCAGCCTGGTCTCCAGAGTGAGTGGATAGGCTCCAAAGCTACACAGAGAAACCCTGTCTTGAAAAACCAAAATAAAATAAAATAAAAAATAAAAGAAACTAGAAAAACATTACAAAGAATCAATGCAACAAAGAGTTGGTTCTATGAGAAGATGAACAAGATAGACAAACCTCTATCCAAACTAACCAAAAGGCAGAGAGAGAGCATGCTAATTAACAAAATCAGAAATGAAAAGGGAGATATAACAACCAACACTGAGGAAATCCAGAAAATCATCAGGTCATACTTTGAAAACTCTACAAAATTCAAAAATCTAAAGGAAATGGACAATTTTCTGGATAGATATCACTTACCAAAATTAAACCAAGAACAGATAACCAGTTTAAATTGACCTATAACCCCTAATGAAATAGAAGGAGTCATCAAAAGCCTCCCAAGCAAAAAAAA